AAAAAGAACAAGATTGGAGGGCTTGCATTATTAGACATCAAGATTTATTATAAAGTCATAGTAAGTTAGATATTTTGCATTTAGTGCAGAAATAGAGCAATGGAAGACTAGGGAGTGCACGTGCGTAAGGAAGCTTGATTTGTGTCAGTGCCGGCACTGCATGGCAGTGGAAAAAGAATGAAGCATCAATAGGGCGGTGCCTGTGGCTCAGTGGGTAGGGCCCCGGCCAAACTGCAACAAAAAATAGCTGGGCACTGTGGCGGGCGCCTGTAGTCCCACCTACTTGGGAGGCTGAGGCAAGAGAATCACTAAAGCCCAAGAGTTTGAGGTTGCTGTGAGCTGTGAGCTGTGAACCACGGCACTCTACCAAGGGTGACATAGTAAGACTCTGTCTAAAAAATAATAATAGCTGTGATGCCACAGAACTCTACTAAGGGCAAATCTGTATCAAAAAAAAAAAAAGTCAATGTTGAACAGAAGTCATTACCTATAGTCCATGCTTAGGAAGAAGAAGAAAAGGCAAGAAAAGAACCCTTGGTCATAAAGGCAAGAAAGGAATCAGGAGACCATTAAGCTGTGAGGAACAAGAAAAATGAGAAAGCAGTCAGCACAAATGCAGCATAGACTTTAGGAATCAATAAAAATAGAAGAGCAGATTAAATTTGGCTGATTCTCACCAGTGGCTTTGATAAAGCAGTTACAGAGAAATCACAGATGTTCAAGCCAGGCTATGGGATGTGATAAGAGCATGTATGGGGGGAAAAGTAAGGATAGAAGCCATTACCTTTTTGTAGGTGATGGAGAAAAAAGCTAGGAATTAACACTGGGCTCAGTGGTTCATGCCTATAATCCCAGCACTTTGGGAGGCTGAGATAGGTGAATTGCCTGAGCCCACCAATTCGAGACCAGCCTGAGCTATAACAAGACCCAATGTCTGAAAAACTAGCCAGGCATTGTGGCAGGCACCTATAGTCCCTCTACTTGGGAGGCTGAGGCAAGAGGATCACTTAAGCCCACGAATTTGAAGTTGGCTGTGAGCTAGGATGCAACAGCACTCTTCAGGGGCGACAAAGTCAGACTCTACTAAAAAAAAAAAAAAATAGCTGGACATTGTGGTGGACACCTGTAAGTCCCAGCTACTTGGGAGGCTGAGGCAAGAAAATCACTTGAACCCAAGAGTTTGAGATTGCTGTGAGCTATGATGCCATGGTACTCTACTGAAGACAACAAAGTGAGACTCTGTCTGAAAAAAAATAAAAGCAAGAAAGCTAGGAATGAATATTCCTAGATTCTCAGTCCTTAAATGTATGACTTCTTAGACATGACTTCTGTAACCAGAGCTGGTGTTCTCAGATACAAAAAACTTAGGGGATTTTTTTTTCCTTCTCTTTCTTTTTATTCTTTCATTTTGCAGCAGATGTGACACTCAACTCTCTGGTGTCTGAAGCATTTGTCAGGTTTTTTGTGGAGCTGGTAGGACATTACTCTTTGAATATGACTGTCACTGAGCGTGGAGAGCGTGTATTCCAAAGGGAGCCATTCCGTAAGTCCCACACCTCCCGAAGTGTACGCCATTTCCTCAATCTCTTTATGGAGACTCAGATGTTTGCAGGATTCATCCAGGACCGAGAGCTTCGGAAAAGTGCGGTTAAAGGTCAGTTACTATCATTAAGTTCTCCCTCTCTATTTAGTGAATACTTTAAAGATTTGAATATAATATAAACAAAAAATAGTGCAGAACTATAAGGGCTCAAAATCTAAGTTGTTAATTATGAGAATTATTTATCTTATAATAGTGTTTTATGGAATATATATTGCTGATGTTCACAGAGTTTTATTTAGTTAATTTCCAGTCTTGAGTTTTAGACGATTTCATCAACATGAGTTTTCCTCATAGGATTGTTTGAGGTCCGGGCCCACCAGTATTTGGAAACAATTTCTGAGTCTGAGCCCAGTGGGATGAATAGAATTTTGCGGAGTCTTGGTGAGTTGCTGTGTTTTCCTGTTAGATAAATTGGCTGAGAAAGCTTGCAATAAGTGGCCTCATCACAAAGGCTTTATAACAGATCAGCAATATAATATCAAGTAGACTGACCACAAACCATGACCCTAATTCCAAAGTATTTTGAAGAAAGATTTTTTTTCTCAAAGCTTGGGATTCCACATCAGAGTGGTCTATGGGGCCATTTCCCTCAGATGAAGCTTCCTGAAAACTACCCTTCATGATATGTTTGCATAACATAATTATCAATATTTTCTAGGTCAGGTCACATTCCTGGGAGAATCATAAAAACTGTGGTGCTTTTTCCCAGAAACCATATCAATATATTTTGCATAGAATTTTAAGGTCTTCATGGACCCCATGAAACTTATCCTTAGAGTCCAGATTCAAAACACCTGGTTTAGGCTGGGCACAGTGGCTCACACCTATAATCCTAGCACTCTGGGAGGCCTAGACAGTTGGATTGCTTGAGCTCATGAGTTTGAGACCAGCTTGAGCAAAAGCAAGACCCCCGTCTCTATTAAAAAATAAAAAAACTGGCTCGGCGCCTATAGCTCAACCGGCTAAGGCGCCAGCCACGTACACCTAAGGTGGCGGGTTCAAATCCCCAGCCCGGACCCGCCAAACAACAATGACGGCTGCAACCAAAAAATAGCCGGGCGTTGTGGCGGGCGCCTGTGGTCCCAGCTACTTGGGAGGCTGAGGCAGGAGACTCGCTTGAGCCCAGGAGTTGGAGGTTGCTGTGAGCTGTAATGCCACAGCACTCTGCCCAGGGCGACAGCTTGAGGCTCTGTCTCAAAAAAATAAAAAAATAAAAATAAATAAAAATAAAAAAATAAAAAAACTGAGGCAAGAGGATTGCTTGAGCCTGAGTTGGAGGTTGCTGTGAGCTATGATGCCCTGGCACTCTATCCAAGGCAACAGCTTGAGACTCTGTCTCAAAAATAAAAACCTGGTTTAGAAGGACTGCAGCAAGATTTCCTACAAGTCTCTAATTTTGCACAGTTGTTTATGATTTTTCAATTATCCAATATGATACAAAAGAACAATGGCATAGCTGGCCTAAAACACAGAAGAATCTATATTCTATATTTATGTTGGTCTTTGAAATGTATGCCCCCTAATTAGGCCCCATCCTTCTCTAGGTGAGAGACTATGAACAAATTATGCCTTAGGCTGTTATTTCATCTTTATAGCATGGCATTAATCTCTAGAGACCTTAAAAATGTTTTCCCTTGGACTTTAGGAAATCTCTGAGAAGGAAGGCAGGTGATTTTATCCTACATTCAGGGTTGAAACCCACTAGATTACATGATGTCTGAGTCCTTTCCTATCTCTACAATTAGACACTTGGGGCAGGGCAAGAGGGTGGTGGTTAAACACATCAACTGAGCTTGAGATGTTAGCTTAACTTTCGGCCTGTTCTGAATGACTAGATTGTTAAATGGCTTGACTCAAACGTACAGTAAATAAAAATGAATTGAGAGTTTACTCTACCTTTTTATCCCTGTAGGAAGTAAAATGAAGTTTCTGCAGAAGAAATGAAATCTTTGATTGTCTCCATCCTAATTAGAAAAGGAAGTGCCAAAGAAAATATTTTTCTAAGGGTCAGGATGCCCTGAAGTATTCCACAAAAGTCTGGAAATTTTAAAAGGTTAAAGAGCGACTCAGGCTCTTGGAGAAGGAGTCTCCTGTTGCTGTTGTAACAATCACTGGAGAATTGTTGGAATGGTCTGGAACCAATTCTCTCTTCACTATGCCTCGTTTTTTATAGTGGCCTTTTTGATTTGATTCTTGGGCTCATTCTTTGTGTTTTGTGCTTAGTCTGTGAAGGCAGTTGTCTTCTACAATACAACTTGATGGTGTTACATTATTAAAAAGCTCAAAGGCGAGATAATAAGAGAAATGCTGAATTAAAGTACTGGAGAGGCACTAGAGAAGTGGAGAATACTAGCCTTACACAGATAATTCTCACCACTGAAATATCATGGCAGCTTTAAATCCATGGGCTGCTTGACCTGAGCTAAGGAATATACTCATCACATATCTCCATTTTTTTTTGGTCTAATATGTATTCTAGGGGAATCTCACTTATATGGAATTCCTACTTGTTAGCACTATCACTGAGTACCTGATCAAAGTAGACATCTTGTAGCTTGTGCTCCCTATTTGTGGCACTTGAGTAGCCTGTCCCTCACGTGTCAACATTAAACTTTGTGAATTATAGCTAATAGGATAATGTCCTTTTTTGTTATTGTTTTCTTTTTCTTTTTCTTTTTTTTTTTTTTTTGAGACACAGTTCCACTTGGTCACCCATGGCGTCTTAGCTCACAGCAACCTCAAACTCTTGGGCTCAAGCGATTCTCTTGCCTCAGCCTCCCAAGTAGCTGGGACTACAGGCGCCACCACAACGCCCAGCTGTTTTTTAGATGGGGATTCGCTCTTGCTCAGGTTGGTCTCCAACTCCTGAGCTCAAGCCATCCACCTGCCTCAGCCTCCCGGAGTGCTAGGATTACAGATGTGAGCCACCACGCTTGGTCCTTTAAACTATAGGTGCCTATAGAAGACACTTTTTACTCCCCTAGAATTGTCAGACTTTTTGCTCTAATTAAATTGAATTCAGAATATGAACATTTCCTGAGCAGACACCTCAGCACCCAGACCCTTAATATCTGAGATAGTATAACAGAAGTGACTGGAAAGAAATTTTTCCATGATGGTGTAATTTTCATTGATAAATTTTACCACAAATATTAGTTTGTTTTCTTCAGTTTCTGCTCATGGTTTTAACTGGAACAGAACATATATATTGAACAGAACATATTTATTCAAACTTAGAAAACATTGTACATTGTATTGTGATACAATTTATTGACTTGTACAGTATTGTCATTACAACCTATTCAGTATGCATGAATCTGAAGCAGACACCATTTAAGATTGGTGCTTTGTAATATAATTCCTACAGATGTGGGTCCAGGGAATAGAACTGAGCCTATGTCTTTTTATATTAATGTTGATTTTACGCAGCTTACCCCAGTGAGACTCCTACCAGACATCACCCCATTTAGTCGTTTTTTGCCTTGTAACCCCGAGGGAACAACTAATAATAAGGTGTTTATAAAACGGGGGGTAGGAAAGTTTACTGTGATAGATACCGGCTATCCCTCTGTGAGGAGACCTTTGCTTTAGAGATGGGAGTCTTACCTTATCCCTACAGTCAGAAGCTGCATCCTTTCCTTGGGTCTATTATGTTTTGTTTTTGTAAAGCATTAAACGAATTCTGGACGTTTGTAAAAGATTTGTATAAAATGTTGTTTACAGATCCTTTAATGAATAAACATAAAAATCCCACAAATTTGTTGGGGAATTCTTACAATGTAACGATCTTTTACCTCACTTAAATACTAGCTAGCATATTTACCTAATGTTAAATTATAAAGATAATCCGAATCAACCTTAGATCAACCAGGATTGATAACTATAGCTAACACTTCCAGGCTCTTGGCAGACAAAGCCTGGGTCTAAGTTGCACCATGGGCAGGGTGTACAGTCTAACAAAGGCTGTTCTGTTTAGGAGCCAGAAGGCAGAGAAGGTGCACTGATAGTATGGTTGGGAGGTAATGCGGAGCGCTATTCTATTACCGTTAAGTCCTAAAGGCAAAATGACTGAGTTTTATACACAGTAATGGCAAAATAACAGGGTTTTAAAACATTGCCGGTGGTTGAACGGTTACCAAGCTCGCCCTACAGGAAGGTTAAAATTCCTTTTGTTACCACAGCCCCTAAAGCTTCGCAATTTTACTCCGAGACTGGCGCCCATTTTCAGACTCTGAAAAAACTAGTTATCCAGTGCAAGATTACTGGGACGACGAGAATGAAGGATAGTGGAGGTACGGCAAGAGAAGCCCAACACAAAGGCAGAGAAGTATTAAGAGAAGAAAACAGAAGGGGAATGAGCCGGGAAACCAGTTTCTTTCCCTGCCAAATCCTGCTGCTAGTTCCTGTCAAAAGTTCTAAGAGTTCTCCTTCCAGGCATCAATCTTCTGGAGGAAAGTAAAAGTCTCAAATACACCAAATCGCAGCCACTCTCAGGGAAAAAGCGCAGCAACCACAGGACAGGAAGTTGGGAGCCTCCGCGGACGCCCAGAGTCCAGGATGTGACATCACGTCTGCTCCAAATTAGCCCGGCAATTTCTAGCTTCCGGGCTCTCGCGCCTTCAGACTTAGCAACTGAGCATGCGCCAAGACCAGTGTGCGGGCGATCTGGATTACGTCAGTGTTAGGCGCCGGCATAATTAAATGCTACTGAGCCTGCGCAAACTAAGCGCAGGCCTGCCTAGGGTCCGGTAATGGCGGGCACCGGCTTGGTGGCTGGAGAGGTTGTGGTGGATGCACTGCCGTATTTTGATCAAGGTTATGAAGCGCCTGGTGTGCGGGAAGCGGTGAGTGTGGGGTGTCTGTGGAGGTGACTCAGCGCTCTCTGGCCTAGTCCTGAGAGAAGCACTCACACTTTGCCGCTGCTACCCTGGCTCTTGTTCTTGTTCTTAGGCTGCGGCGCTGGTGGAAGAGGAAACCCGCAGATACCGACCGACTAAGAACTACCTGAGCTACCTGACAGCCCCGGATTATTCTGCTTTTGAAGTAAGTGTGATGTCTTGAGCCCAGGTATGAAGGAGTATTCTCGCGTACTTTTATTTTGGATTGAGAGTTTTAGTTGACGTAAAAGTGAATTTAAAATACTATCTTTAACCACTGCTTGCTTAACTATTACTTAATTGTCACATAGATACAGTCTGTTGAAAATAACGTAGATAAGGGGTTTCTCTGAGGTTCTTATTCTGACATTGACTTGCTGGGCTCCACGAACTCACTCACTTAATGGCGAAATTTGTGTGTACACTTTTTTTGAGATGGGGCCCATGAGTAAATTCTCAAAGGAATTCTCTAGTCTCTAAGGTCTAGCCTACAGCAAGTAATCTGGCGTTTTGTAATATGCATGACCTTCATTACTTTAACTCTTTTAGAGCCACTGAGGTATCAGACCCTAGATGTTTAACAGTTGTGTGCTAATGAATGGACAGACCACATCTAAATACATACTGTTTCAGATGTTTAACCTGGAAGTGCATCCTAGATACTAGTTAGAATCTAATGAGCTCAATCAAATGTAAAATAGCCTTACTGGATTCAGGCTGGGCACTATGGCTTATACCTGTAATTGTAATACTTTGGGAGGCTAAAGAGTTGGAGGCCAGCCTCAAAACAAAACATGAGGGCTGGGTGAGGTGGCTTACTCCTGTAATCTCGGCACTCTGGGAGGCCGAGGTGGGTGGTTTGCCTGAGCTCACAGCTAGAGACCAGCCTGAGCCAGAACGAGCCCTCATTTCTAAAAATAGCAGAAGCATTGTGGCAGATGCCTTTAAGTCCCACCTACTTGGGAGGCTGAGGCAAGAGAATTGCTTTAGCCCAAGAGTTTGAGGTTGCTGTGAGCTGTGATGCCACAGCACTCTACCAAGGGCGACAAAGTGAGACTCTGTCTCAAAAAAAAAAAAGGAAAAGTGAAAAAATTAGCCAGGCATGGTACCCCAGGCTTCAGTCCCAGCTACTTTGGAGTGAGGATGCTGAGGCAGAAACTCTTGCCTTGACCCCAGGAGTTTGAGGTTGTATTGAGCTATGACATGACTACAGTATAGCCTGAACAAAAGAGCAAAACCTTATCTCCAAATACATAAATAATTGGATCGAGCATTTCAGTATGTACGTTATCTGGGTCCCCCCCCCATTTGTGGAATAATTTATTCGTGAAAGGATTATTTATATTGAAGTAACATGAAAAAAATGTTGACTAAGTTTTAAGCAGGAGAAAGGTGGTTCCTGTACTTTTCCAAATGTTGTTAACTGCAGATGTTAACCACATTAAGAGCTAAGTGTACACTGGGCCGGGCAAGGTGGCTTATGCCTGTAATCCTAGCACTCTGAGGGGCCAAGGCAGGTGGATTGCCTGGGCTCAGGAGTTGCAGACCAGCCTGAGCAAGAGTGAGACCCCATCTCTTAAAAATAACTGGCTATTGTGGAGGGTGCCTGTAGTCCCAGCTACTTAGGAGGCTGAAGCAAGAGAAT